ACCAGTTCGGGACCAGCAGCTCCACGTGTTCGACACAGGTACCCCGGGCGTGCCAGGCACTCGGAGCCAGGCAGTGGGATTCGTCCCGTAGAACGAGGGGCTGCAGCTCTGGTCCAGTCCAGGCCCTGCCATGGCCACAGGTGGCACTGGATGAGCAGGTGGTTCTCGCTGGCGCCGCGCGCTCATCTGGCTGTGGTTGGTGGGGATTCGGGCCCATATGGCACGTGGAGCTCTGGGATGAGAGCACCAGGGGGATGGGGTGGTGTGTCGCACTTGCCCACCTTTCCATGGTGGCATTGACCCGTGCTGCTCGCCTGCTGTGGGAGTCGTCCCGTTCGTTCTTACGGCCCCGCGTGCCCCGGGAAGGGGTTTCTGTCCGGTTTGAATGAGTCCTTTCTGCCTTGGGGTGACCCAGACAGTGCACAGCCCCCTCAGAGGGCTCGCCTGCGCGGCGTTAACTCTTCTCTGACCGCGCTGGAGGTGCCGCCTTGGAGAGCCTCAGCAAAGCTCTGGGGTCGCTGGCATAAAGCTTCCAGAGTTTTCTTCCTAATGCCCCTGTACTCCCGTTTTTAGCCACCTTGACCTGGTCTCAGCCAGATACCCACGGTGATCCCCCTTCTCCTCGGCATGGCCACGTGGTGGTGGCAGTTGGGACCAAGCTCTTCATGCATGGAGGTTTAGCTGGTGATGTTTTTTACAATGATCTGTTCTGCATTGATGTGAGTAAGTACGGATTCAGGTGCCACCGAGCAGTAGCTGTTGTGTGTTCTGATTTGGGGCAACTTTTCTCTAAAGATCAGTTCTCAAGTGCTTAAAATATTCAATATTCATATGGTTTGAAACAATAGGACTGGTGGGTGCTTGATAATGTACAACCACCTACGTGTTCTTTTCTCCAACAGACGACATGAGATGGGTTAAGATACCAGCCACTGGTGACGTCCCAGGAGGACGGGCATCCCACTCGGCAGCTGTGTTTAAGGACCACTTGTACATCTTTGGTGGAATAGGCCCGGATGGGGCACTGGATACCACCTACAAGTATCGCATAGGTAGGGAGACCTCTCTCAGCTGCGTAGCGGTAAATGCCACTCTTTTGCAAAATACATTTCCTGCTCCGTTCCCGGGCTTCACCCTCCCAGTCTCAGTGTCATTGCACTGGAGTTACACCAGTATAAGACTAACCCCTGACATGCTCTGTAATGTTAAAAACTGGTCTAGCTAACGATGTCACTGCCCCAGCGTGCTTTCTAAGCCTGTAAAGCTGCATTTGCAGGTACAAATGAGAATCTTTGCACTGCAGAGCAGCAGCAGTGGACGCACCTACAGTTTGAATCCCCTCTGCCTACTGGGAGGCTGGACCACGCCATGTGTGTTGTCCCTTGGCGGGCTAGCGAGAGCGGGGACGTGGGAGCTGCCACCCAGGAAGAGTCGCCTGCGTCGGCAGGGGACAGAGCTGCCCCCCTCCTGCAGAGCCCGGGTGACAGAGTCGTGCACCTGCTGTTGGTGTTCGGCGGGATGGATGCCCAGGGGGAGGTGTACAGGGACTGCATCGTCAGCCGGATCGAGTAGCAGAGCCTGATCAGCTCCTGCGCAGCTTTTGTAATTCCGGCACGTTCATTCTTCTCTCCAATAAATTCTTACCCTCAGGCGGGTGGCACTGTGCCCGCACCCCCCTGAGGTACAGGTCCCTCTCTGTGCCGTTCTGCTGGCAGTAGGTGCAGCGTTCCCTGCAGCAGAAGGGCTCAGCCACGGTCACTGGAGCACAAGCTGCTGGAATGCCAGAGCCTGGAATGGCTCACACCATGTCTGGACAGCTTTCCAGGGAAGAACCTCACATACAGTTGGCTGCAGAAACACTTCTACCTGCAGAGACACTGTGCTGTCTGGAAACAAAGGTTTTTGGGGATGATTTGAGTTTTGCTTTCACTGTTTTGAAAATGAGCAAATGAAAACCAGGAAAGAAAAAAACACCCCCCACACCAGGGAAAATGTGACGTGCCAACTGGTTTTAAGGAGATATTGCAGCAGGCACAACAAAAACTCCTTTTGTATTTGGTTTAATTTGTCTAATCCCATGGATGGAGTAAAGATCACAGTTAAATAAAAAACCCAAGTTCTAATTAGGCCTTTTTTTTTTTTTAAGAACATTTAGTAGACTAGTTCTCAGTATCCAGAAAACTGGGCAGTTCTCAGCTTCTGCAGTTTTAATGCAGCAGGAAGTTGTGTTTGTGGTTAAGCTGGTCTCTCCTCCCTCACCTGCTTTGCATTGAAGTTTGCATCCGAGCTCTGCTCCAGCTCCGAGCGCTAGCCACCGCTCCAGGGGAGCTGCACAAGGAGACCAGTGGATCTGTGGCATTGTAGAACCTGGCACAGTTGAAGTACCCAGGAACACCTCAGGAAGATGTCTTGCTTTACCAGGAGGCACCAAGGGTGACATGCCAGAGCTCTGGAGCTGCTCACAGCACCTGTTGCCCACCCCCAGAATAGACTGCCTGGGCACAGCAACAGCAGAGGGTACAGCTGGCGCTCAGCACCAGAGGAGCTGAGCTCGGGTTCCCTCAGGAGACCTGCCCAGTGCTCAGCAAGGCTTGCAGGCACCGAGCAGCAGCCCGAAAGCACAGAGAAACTCGAGCAGGAGCTGCAGAGAGTTGCCAGTCAGCATGACCCCAGGGCACAGCTGCTGCCATTCACAGGGTCCCAGAACAGCTCATGGTGAGGGGCAAGCCACCAGCTCACCATTTGGGCACAACCCAGCTCCTGGTTAGAACCAGCTGCTGTAAGGAGGCGAGGGATAACAGCTAGAGCAGAGTCCAGTGTAAATAACAAATTTATTGTGGTCACTTCAGGTAGAAAAGCTCTACACCAAGTTCACATGACCAACGTGTTAAATAGAACTTCCACTGCTGCTGCTCCTACACCCGGTTTGCATTTACACCCCCTGCTCCCCCTCCCCTCCCCGACATTGAGCAACTGCTAACGAAAAGCAGAATACAGCCACGTTGGGCTAGCGTTTCCAGCTCCACTCGTGAGTGAAGATTCAGAGTTACATTCCAAATTCAGAGTTCAATATTTTAAACAAGTGTTCCTGAGTCCAATATATACACACACACGACACGGGAGAGGGGCCAGGATCTACAACTCGTCCTTCTCTGCTGCCTCCTCCTCGCCAGGGGGGGGCCCTGCACTTCCGTAGAGCTTGCTGACGATCGGCTGAACCACTTCCTCCAGCTCCTTCTTTTTGGCCTTGAAGTCTTCAATGTCGGCATCTTGATGGCTTTCGAGCCACTCAATCTTGTCCTCCACCGCTTTCTCAATTGTTTCTTTGTCTTCAGACGACAGCTTCCCTCCCAGCTTCTCCTTGTCCCCGATCTGATTCTTCAGAGAGTAGGCATAGCTTTCCAGCTCGTTCCGGGAATCGATGCGTTCCTTGAGCTTCTTGTCTTCCTCCGCAAACTTCTCGGCATCATTAACCATCCTCTCGATCTCCTCCGGCGTCAGCCGGTTCTGGTCGTTCGTAATGGTGATCTTGTTTTTGTTCCCAGTGCCCTTGTCCTCGGCGGTGACACGCAGGATTCCGTTCACATCGATTTCGAAGGTTACCTCAATCTGGGGGACACCGCGAGGGGCAGGAGGGATTCCGGTGAGATCAAACGTTCCCAGGAGATGGTTGTCCTTGGTGAGGGGACGCTCACCTAGAAGACAATTAGATTTGGTTTCTTTCTTTTCAAGCTGTGTTTGTATTTTACAAAGGTAAGGTTTTCAATTCCAACCCAACGTCTGTCCACCCTCCTCCTACGGTACCACCTCTCACTCTGAAGAGCTCTTTACAATAAAACCATAGGACAAAAAAAAAACCACACTATTTGAAAAACATTTAGTAACAGCTTTTGATGTAGTTCAAGCAGCCTGATCAGAGCTGGCGCTGTCAGCAGTCTCCTCCTTGTAAGGAGAGACCTGCAAGCATCTAGAACAATCCACAGCCTGGTGACATGGCAGTAGCAGGTATGGAAGTCCCATGCACAGACTCCAGCTGTCACACAGGCCACCACAGGTGACACTTACCTTCGTAGACCTTGATTGTCACAGTTGGCTGATTGTCAGAAGCCGTGGAGAAGATCTGCGACTTCTTTGTGGGAACAACAGTGTTCCTTGGGATCAGCTTAGTCATCACGCCTCCGACGGTCTCAATGCCGAGTGTCAGAGGACAGACGTCAAGCAACACCAAGTCACCTGTAACAGGTCAAGGGTGAGACAATGACATGACTGGAAAGAAACACGACATCTCATCCCTGCAGACTGGGTCCTGAGGTCTCAGGTGCAAAACTCCTGAAGGAAAAGAGCCAAGTTCTGCACCCGCTTGTCAATAACCAATATCCACTATTCAGTCAACACTCAGTGACAGCAAAGGTGTCATCACCTGTATCCTGGTCCCCAGAGAGAACGCCAGCCTGGACAGCCGCACCGTAGGCTACAGCCTCATCTGGATTAATGCCACGGGAAGGCTCTTTCCCGTTGAAGAACTCTTTAACTAGCTGCTGTATTTTGGGGATGCGAGTAGAGCCACCAACAAGAACAATCTCATCAATATCGGACTTCTTTAGGTCAGAATCCTCCAGAACTTTCTGAACAGGCTTCATAGTGGAACGGAACAGGTCCTAGAAAACAAACACAAACCACAGGACTTTAAGACTGTATTCCCAGATGCCTCGTCTCCCAGTTACGCAGCCTTAGGCTACAAAGGACAACCACTACAGAGGAGGAACATCAACTGGCTCATGACCAGCCATGGCGAGACCTCAGCCGTCATGAACATCCACACAGCCCCAGCTACCTCCACAAAGAGCAGCTGCCTGCTTTTTAGTGCAGGCAGGAAGTTATTTATACCCCAAATATGAAATGCTGCACGTTCACAAGTCTGCAATCTAGAGCTGAGGCAAAAGCTTTACCTGTCTAAACTTACCATGTTCAGTTCCTCAAACTTGGCTCGAGTAAGCGTCTCTGAGAAATCCTCTCCTTCAAAGAAGGATTCTATTTCAATTCTAGCCTGGTGCTGAGATGACAGTGCTCGCTTTGCTTTCTCCACTTCCCGTCTTAACTTCTGCACAGCTCTGTTATCCTTCCTGACGTCTTTCCCAGTTTTCTTCTTGTAGAGTTTGATGAAGTGTTCCATGACACGTTGGTCAAAGTCTTCCCCACCCAGGTGAGTGTCACCATTAGTAGCCACAACTTCAAAGACTCCATTGTCAATTGTGAGGAGGGACACATCGAAAGTTCCACCACCCAAGTCAAACACAAGGATGTTCTTCTCGCCCTCTCTCTTGTCCAAGCCGTAAGCAATGGCAGCAGCTGTCCTGTACACGAAACAGCCCACTCAGAAAGCTGGCACTCCCACCCCCATCTCCCCAGCAGGCAGGACAGGTCAGGCTACTTACGGCTCATTAATAATTCTCATCACATTCAACCCAGCAATAGTACCAGCATCTTTTGTGGCCTGCCGCTGAGCGTCGTTGAAGTAGGCTGGCACAGTAACAACAGCGTGAGTAACCTGAATAAGGAGGAAGAGATGTAACTGTTACAGAAACAGAAGAAAAGCACAGAGCTTGTCAATAACCCCATGGTATTGCTGGTAACGAGTAGCCCATTGTTCTTCAAAGAGAAGTAAAAACCCACCAGCAGCTGAGCCCGTTCAACTGGGCTGCCCAAGGGGCCAGCAGCACTGAACAGAGTTTAGCACTGCAGGGTTAGTCCACAGTTTCAGCCCATCAACCTCTAGTTTAGCAAAGCTGCTGCTTTAGGTTTTTCTTAGCAGCACTCATGAACTTACTTTCTTCCCCAAGTAAGCCTCCGCAGTTTCCTTCATCTTTGTCAAGACCATGGCAGAAATTTCTTCAGGAGCAAAGGTTTTTGTCTGCCCACCTCCAACATCGACCTGAATGTGGGGCTTGGCTTTCTTTTCAATAACCTGAAAACGACAACATATACTGTCCTGTTCAGCGATTCCCAGATTATTCCTACTTGTCCAAGGGCTTCTTTCTCTGAACATTAAGCACAGCCCCTGTGTAACAAGCACGGTTTGACTGCTAGCAACAGAAGGAGCTGTTGTCTAGAGGCTCCGGCCACATCCCCGCACGCCAACCCCCTCTGGAGGGCCAGGGAACCGCAGGGCTGCTCAGAACAGCACCGTGACTCAGGGGCCTCTCCTCCCCACGCACGCAGGTCCCCTCCCCACGCTCGGGGCGCACCTTGAACGGCAGGTACTTGATGTCCTGCTGCACGGAAGGGTCGTTCCAGGTGCGGCCGATGAGCCGCTTGGCATCAAACACGGTGTTCTCGGGGTTGGACGTGAGCTGGTTCTTGGCGGCGTCCCCGATCAGGCGCTCCCCCTCGGGCGTGAACGCCACGTAGGACGGCGTGATGCGATTGCCCTGGTCGTTGGCGATGATTTCCACCCGGCCGTTCTTGAAAACGCCCACGCTGCGGGGCGGCGGGGC